GACGGAACTGCCGTGGGGTGCCACGCCGTGCCCCATTGAAATTCCGTCTGGCCAGACGCCCGGCTGCTCCCTCACGTGTGCAAGGGGGGACAGGGCAGCAAGAAAACAGAAAGAGATTATTAAGGTGACGAACTTTCGATCGATTTGTCGAGGTATCGGGATGCGTCCCCTTGCAACGCACATACAATGCGTTGCATGAATGAATCTTTTTTTTTTATTAATCCGAGTTTTCACCTAAAAACCTTGATCAATATGTATTCTTTTAATACTACGTAATGTATATAATATCAAAAGAAGTTTCACAATCTTTTACTAGATCTTTTTCTTTTTCTGAAAGGTGTTCAAGATTTTTGACTTTCAGAAGAGAATCTTACGAATGTAAAATGAACCAAGTGGAAATAACAACGAATTTTACTTCTGAAATACGATTGACACCAAGGTGTACTTATGAAACTGTATTATATTTTACGAATAACACCGTTCAATGCTCAGACCAGTATTGTGTAATTGAAGAAAAGTTTCTCTTTCTGTTTCCTTTTGCTTGCAAATAATTGGCGAAAATCTGAAGAAGGATGATCTTTCCTTCAAGCGACAAAGATTTGCTGGTTGTTAAGGGCATCATTGTGCTTTTCGATTCAATCGGATGGTTAGCCGCTTGCTCCATTAACGAGCTACAAAGGAACTAGGGATATTAAGGAATACTTCCTGTTCACGAGCCCCACCGTTTCTATGACTCGAGAAAGGATCCTGGCTAATTATAGCGGTTACTATAAAGATGTACAAAGGTGCGAAAACGGGTCCAAAGCGAGATTCTCATTGTCCGGCTATCGCTGCAAAGTGGCCGAGCCCTCTTAAACTGTTCCGAAGTGGTCGGTAACGAGAAGGACGGTCGTTTTCACGTGTTGGGTGAAAGAGAAGAACTATAGGGACGATTTGTCGTCGCTTGTAAATCTGTCCCGTTAATTCCCAGCACGAGACATCCGGCCTTCCGGCGAGGCGTTGCGGAGGCGTTTCGTGTGGTAAACATAATGTCGTGACCGTAAAACCTTGTCTGATCGGTGTACCTTTACTTTACAGCCCTGAACGCGTGCCGAATGTGTCTTTCTCTAACGTTACACCTGGAAAGTTTGCCAATTTGTGCCCGCATTGTGCTCCGAAATTGGGATCTTTCATTTCATCCGGAATATTTGCCAAAGCCGATTCTCGTTTTCTATTTGTGTTAAAGATTTCCGATGAGTACTTCAATTTTACTTATTTATTTTTGATGAAGTAGAAATTTCTTTTATCGAACTTGGGATGAGCTTATAAAAAGAGAGTTAATAGTTCGAATAACTATGTTTAAAGATAAATATTATTTAGTTTAATTAATTGTATTAATTTTAATAACTGCCTATAGGTAAAATTCGTTTTGTAAAATAATATTAATGAGATACAATAATTTTAAGTTAGAATATGCAAAATTATTTGAATATTATTCAATTTTTTAATCTAACTTTATTAATGTGGTACTTTCTATTTCCGACGTATTTTGTCAACTTTTATATAGATTACGATATAATATTAAGAGATTTTAATATTTTACAAAAATCGTACAATAGTTACTATCCAAAATTAATTTTTTAATCTGCCTAATATCTGATGTGGTATTATGTACTTTAAACAGCTTTTTTAATTTAAATTCTTAACATTTGATGTGTACCGACACAATCAATTCTTGAACATTCTTCTAATCATCTAAGTCCGCCTACAAGAACATCTGCCCATAAAACTCGTTCGAGCATCGTTTCTCGCCTCTCGACGTTAAATTCCGTTACGCCTTCGACTCGAGTATCGCGCGTGCCTCTCACAATTTATCACGGAATCACGTGGATGCAACGGATCGTCGAACAAAGTGGCTCCGCCAGAAAACGAACGAAACGAAACGGAACGGATTCAACAGTGTTCCTCCCTATCTTTTCTTCATCCACCCTCGCGAGCCTCCCAATTCTTCGGTTCATTGTGACAGATTGGCCGGCCCTCTCCACGATATCCGGCCCCAATTTCGAGATGCGCCTCTCTAACGGGAGCTTAAAAACGCTTCAGAAGCGTTTCCCGATCGGCCATCCAGCACAACTGTATCGTCTTTTTCCCGTGCGATGCACAATGACTTTCGAACATATGTCGAACGATGGAGTTTCTCTCGGCCGCATCAAGATACGTTATTAACGCGTGCAGGGAGGGGAATGGTTCGCGAAGGAAACCGTAGCAGATAAAACGTGAAAGAGAGGGAAAGCAGAGGGACGAGAAGGGGCGAAAGAAAATCCATTTTCATGTCGAGACCGAGTCGAGCACCTAGACACGTGGGTGGAAGAAGAAGGACGAGGCAAGGTGGGGTAGGTCGAGCCATCTGGTTCCTTCCCTACACACAACCACCTTGAGGGCCTTTTAAATCCACCAGAGACATGCACCTTGAGACCTGTCTGGGCCAAGGACCCTCGAACGCTTGGCCCTTTAAAAATCGACATTGAGACACCGAGACTGTGCCCTTACCCTTGGCTCGCCTTAACAACCCCGAGGATAACCGCGCCATTCAATGCTCCGACCTTCTTTATTTTTTGATATGCTTACATACGTTCCTCTATTCTGCTTGCTTGGATCACGTTTCCGGCCGGGAGAGCCGGTGTTTGGTTTGTATCGGGGTTAATGGATACATTCAATACGGTGAGCACTTAGATACTCTCCGAGTTTTCAATTTCCAAGACGTTTAGTATTTACTCGTCTTTTTAAATTTTAGGCTCAAAGTTATAGTTTTTGTGACCACTTTCGTGGTTATGAGAATTACGCTACAGGATAAAAATATAACTGCTTCGTTTAAAATCATATAATTCTCATAAAATGATTTTGATAAATTTTTCTATTTGCTTTAGATTTATCGTGAATAGATATATTATATATTATATCGTGAATAGATATTTGTCATAATGTATGCTTTTGTGTTTTTCAATGAACATCATTACATAAATAAATATCAAATATGTGGTGTGCGTGTGTGCGTGTGTGTATGTACTATGTAATTGTATGATCAGTATGGGTGCATGGTATGAATGAAGCTTGCGTATGGTATGATTGAAGTTTGCATGTAATGAATATTGCTAAAAGATTATCATTTTTGTGTGATCGAATGTTTTCGGAGCGAAGCGAAGAGCTCATTGCTTTGAGAGAAATTGTGAGAGAAAGACGTGGGAGATTTGTAATTCGTAATTCGTGAGATTCCATTTGTGTTGTATTTAATTAATTATAACTATTCATGCTTTATTAATAAACTTCATTAATCTTTGCAATTATTAAATATTATTCTACAAATATGTAAATTTAATTTTTATAGCAATTTTTTCACAAGTAGTCAAATAATTTTTATTTGAAAATGTTTGCAAAATTAACTACAAGGATAATGTTCTGAGTGTCATTTACATCTTTGTTGCATTCACAAAGAATGTAGTGCATTCACATTGTCCGCATTGTTTCAGACTGAAACTACAATTTGAAGAAATAGTTATAATAAATTATCTCAAAATCAAATAAATTATCTTAATAAACTAACTCTTTTAGAAGCTTTTTAAAATTTAAGATTACAAAGACATCTGAAATGACCTGATATTTAAATATCAAAAAGTGATGTTACTATTCGAGAGCTAATGAATGAAAAATTTAAAAATTTGGAAGATTGGTAAAGATATTTGAAATGAACTGATATTTAGACTGTTACAATATTACTATTAGGGGACTAATGAATCCGATTAGGAAGGGTTATTGCCTTAAGTAGCGGGCCACGCACCCTAATTCCTGACATCTCAGAAGCAAATCAGATTCACATCAGCAACGCACACAAGTAAATCCATGGATGCACAGGATACCTATTAACATTACATAAACAGAGGATAGGCCATAGTATGGCGTGCTGTTTACTAAGATCAGCATACCGGCGATGGTCTACCGACAAAGCCAAATTAATTTGCAAATCGTTCCTGATGCACATCTCGAAGGAGTCGTCTGTCTGTATAGTATAGCCGATACCGTATGTGCTCATAGGTCCTTATCGATACATCAACGAGCCGGCTGAAAGCATCGAATACCAAAGAGAGTAGTGAATCGAGACGAGACGAATGCATGTACGAGAATGCGTAATCTTCGAGTGGATATCGGGAGATGAAAAAAATTGCAACCTCAGATGGTGCTACGGCAAGCATTTCTGACCCGTATCTCGCGTAATTCTCGTTTGCCCCTACCCGCCGACGTACATACCGAGGTACTTTTGTCTTCTTACACAACCGGCTCACCCCGATCTCTGTCGTGGGACTCGGCTACACGCAAGGGTGCATCTCGCGGACCCAGTTACTACATGCACTTTTGTCTACGTGATACGTGTGCGACGACTTGCGAGCGTAGAGAAGCGAGTTCGCGGCGAAACAGCGAGATCTCCGCGCATGGGGACGCGGGATGGAGGAAGGGATGAGACACGACCCGTCGGGGATGGGCTGACAGTGAGACTTTTATTAGAGAAGGAATCAGCAAGCATGATTATGTACCTTAGAGCGTCTCCACCTCCGTTTACCGGTTTCTACCCTTCCTGCCTTCTACTACCCCCGACCGCTTACCCCTCTACCGCACGTCTAACCACCCTTCTTCCTACTTCGTCTCCGCTATCGCCACTGACATTGCACGACGACGACGACGACGACGACGATGACGACGACCACCCTGTCGCAGTTGCATTGTCAACCCCTTCCTCCCCGTCAACCCGTTCTCTGCACTCGCATATGCACGCATTGGCGTAGAACGCTGAGGAATCGACGACCCTCTATAATAGATTGCTCTTCCTTCCAGATAAGCTTTATCCCGTTCTCCGTTAACCTTCTCGCGTTTAGGCTACTATCTGATGTGTTTTAGAATTCCTGATGATCGGAAATAGGGGTTGCGCTTTTACTTAAGAAATTCACTTTTTTATAGCATTAAGTACTTACGATGAACGTTGCCGTGGCGATGTGAAAGATGCTGTCCCCTGAAACAAATCAATCATCATCAAATTATTTTTTAAATTGTGTACATTAACAATTTGAGAAACATACAACGTTAGAAGCATCTTGCGCAATATATTTTGGTTGTCTTTTATTATACATATATTTGTTATATGTTCTTTCCTGTATACTTGTAATTTAATTTACGACATAAAAATACGTAAGGGATCTTTGAGTCTTGAGGAATGAATTGTCGCATCGTATCGAAGAGTTAAGATTTTTGGTAATATTACCGAATCGGTCCAGGAGATGAAAACGTAGAGAGCAGAGTTGTCCTCCACGAAATTTGCATCTCTGCCTCGCCAATGCCGCCCAAGGCGATATTGTCGTCACAATGAAACCACCCCCACACCTCCCCCAAAGCTCGCCACCGGCCTCCGATACACCCTCCGACACAGCGATGTCATGTGCGGGTGTCGCACTCCGAAACTTTTGCCTCGAACCAGATGCGCGAAACTTCGCGAATTCTGATCACGCATACATCGGCATGGTAAAAAATTTTATCAGCCTTTTTTTCGAGTTGTCCCTCCGGACACGGTAAAATCCTTTTGAAAACGCCGCGCCATGCAGCGGCAAACTTGCGCCGGAGAAAAATTTAGATGCAGATGACCACGCTGGACGTTCAACTTTTTAATTTGGAATTCTCGTTCCAGTACGGATTCAGTTGGGCGACAGACAGGTACCGGGATACGAAATAGTTGCGCTGTTTTGCAACTAATTTACATCGCCCTGTACAATTAGAATTGTTACGCTTTTGAAGAGAGAACTTTGTTCCGCGCAGAAAAAGAACGTGTTTCTCTGTGGATGTAATAGGTCGTGTCAAACGAACGATTTTGAAACGTAAGTGTGACGTGATTTGCTGATCAAAGTAACGCAAAAAAGTACTTGGGTACTAATTTGAATATAGAGGTTTCGTGAAAATGAGCGCGTATTTAATTGGTATTTTAAAGTGGCTAGTTATAATAAACTTTGTTTTGTCCATTAGTGGAAAATAAATATTTTATGTGGAGATATTAGTGCAAAATACATATCTTACATATCTTTTATATGTAGAGTGTTTTGAAAATGATTTTATAATCTAATGTTCTTCATGGCAATAAATGGAAAGGTCCATAATTATTTTATAAGTGATTGAAAATTGGATATTTGTTAAGGGATGATATTAAACTTTAGATTATTTAATTTATTTATTCTCATAATCTGAAGCTGTAGGTTTCACTGTTTGTTTTAATAATATTAAGCTTCAGATTTGTTGATTTACATTTCCTTCTAATGAAAGAATGTATGTAGTTAATTTTGTTAAACATTAAATTTTAAATTGATGTATCACAAGTGCTAACTTCTAGTACTTTTGTATTATTTGATATTATCAAATCAACATGCAGAAAGTATTGGCTAATTAATTTAATATGAAAAGATTATATGAAATGATAGATGAAATAATTATTTTGAAATTGTTAAATGATTCAAGGTTATTTTTTTGAAATATTGACAAGTTTTCAATTTTGTTTTTCCTTTTATATAATAACGATATCATTATTAATATTAAATATAAGATGAACATTAAATAAACCTGTAATGTATATCAAGTTCATTTTCTGTTCTCGTTATGTTTTAAAAGTCTATGTCCATTGAAGCCCAAAAATTCTCTTCTCTCTCATAGCATTTAAAAACCCACTTTTCTAGAGTTTTCCTATTTTTCCTAAAATAGTATGAATAGCATTCTGTGCTCCACCTGCTTGGTCTAAACTGTAAAAATAAAAAGTCATCGTTTTAAAAACCGAATGTTTCCAATTAACCCTCATTTCGTTGGAATAAGGACGCAGACCAGCTTTTGGAAAACACTCCATATGTCTGGGCATATATTACGAGAATGTAGGATTAAATTTAGCATCGTAATCCTGCTCTTTCTACTATCTAACTCTTGGAAAACAGAAAGTTTAACTACAGACATCTTAACCTTTTTAAAAACAATATCTACAAGGTTTGGAAAAACTAATAAGGTTCTTAACTTTGAGGTTAGAGTTACTTATTTTAAATCGATAGTAAAATTTGCTATGTGTTAATTTCCACAAATTTTACAATTCGCAAATTCACGGATTTACTCTTTTATTTATAATCAATAATTCTAAATTCAATATAATAGTTTCAAAATTTTTTAATTTTTAAGTCTACAAGATTTCTAAATTCCCAAATTACCATCTTTCTAAATTCTGGCATTTCCAAATTCTCGAATTCTCTAAATTCTAACAGTTCTTCATTAATAAAGTACAAAAATTTTTAAACTCTCAAATTCTTAAATCTCCAAATATCAAATTTAAAAATTTTCAAATCCTGACGTCTCCAATTTTTAGAAATTTAAATTTCAAAAACTCTGTTTTAAATTAAAAAATTTCCAAATCCTCAAATTTCCATAAATTTAAATTCTCAAAACCTGAAACTCTCAAATTTACAAAATTTCAAATTTTCAGATATCCAAATTTCAAATTTTTGGATCCTCAGATTTCTATTTCTCAAATTTCCATGGGTCCAAATCCTCAAACCCTTATATTCTCAAGTTCCCAAAAATCGAACTAAGATCCTGAAAACCTTTCGAGCTTCCAAAATTCCACCTATGCAAGATCCTAAAACTCCAAAATATCCAAACCACCAAACTTTCAAAATTCAAAAACTATCAAACCCTGAACTATCAAATCTCTACCTAACCCATAAATCAACTACGTCCGCCACTTCATATGTAAACACCAGATATCAATTTCTACTAAAGCATTAGTTGCCAATTTCCCACAAAATTTCAAGAATCATACGTCTTTTCGTCTACTATTCAACGTTCTAGCGAAGGATGCAGCCGAACAAGAAATCACAACGGAGGATACGGAGGTTGAGAGCGAACAAGGATGAGACTAAAGAGGTCATAGGTGTGAGGCATAGTTCGATGCCAGTATCTGAGACAGTTTTGGCGGGCAAGACTTAACAAATAGACAAAGTTTCGTCCCGAGGATACCGGAGCTAGCGGATTCTCCGGCGCTGCCACGACATCCTCTCTCCTCTTTGTTCCCAACTTTATGATGTATTAGATGTTCCCCGTTCGTCGTTCGCCTGCGTTCCTTTCCTCCGTTCCTGTGTGCCGCGCTTTTCAGCTGACCAATTTATACACCACCGGCAGTTAAGATGAAACTTCCACCTAAGTGAATTAACGACACTCGCGAACACGCTGCCAAAAGATTCGGAGAGGTTCAAACTTTTTCAATTTGTAATCATGTTAGTGTTTTCAGACATTATACTTTTCGCAAGATACGTTAGGTTTCACTTATGGTGATTTGACTCTTTGTTGTATAACATCGTGTTACACTCGTGACGTACATCAAATGTGAAAAACCAGACTCGTATTTAAAATTTTTGATACAATTCGAATTCTGCTGAATGTTCGCTAAATGCAAAATATTGTTAACAATTTAATTTTCTTTATTTGTTTTAATGTTGTGGCAACAATTAGTCATCCGTGTAGGAAATTGATGATAATGAATTATATAATATTTATTATAACACTAAAACTACCAAATCGACAAATGACTGTATTAAAAGTTTTTTATTTTAAGTTACAAGATTTGTTAAAGTGGTATTCTTGAAAGTGCTTTGTTGAGACAAAGAATTAATGCATACTAATTTGATTAATTTATATTTTATTCTAAATTTCCAACATTTCTAAATTTTCATACATTCAAACTTGTCTATTCTCACATTTTAAACCACATATCGAACGAATTATTCCCTACTTCCTAAAGCTTATTTATTTAATTGAAGCTTATCAGAAAACGAAAGGTAGATTGCTATTTTTCCTACAGAATTCTACGGTGTCCAAAATCCCATATAATATAAAATATCTATCCGAATAGGGGTTAATACCGAAATGTACGAACCCATTTTGCAACACGGACGACCATATCAAAAGAGTTAAAAAGATCCAACAATTTTTTCGCGCGAATCAGAAATGTCTACCAAACGTATCCTTTTATTCTGTAAATTCCTTTCATAAGCAAAATCATTTTCCCGCGTACGGAAGCGGTCAGAGCGTGCATCGAATCTTTCCGGGCGGCCATCGAAACGACATCAAAAGTTTCGTATCCCCATAAAAAAATCCGCCATGGCCGGGGTTACGCAGACGCGCCTGCTGCCCCCAGGATTAATAAACTTTGTCGCGTCTCGGCTTACCTCGTTGCCGTAACTCCGTACGTGGAAAATCAATACCCGATACACACGTATCCCAGAGGTTTGCTTCTACTTGTCGCGCTATCTCTCTTTTATCGCGATCGTATCAGGTCGTATCGTCGTTGCGTGGGAACACACAAACGTACCGTCTGCCCAGACGAGAAACGTCCAGGCATTTACAAACACAAGTAGGTCGTCTAACCGTTAAACGCCCACGCCGTTGTCCCTGCACACCCTCTTGACAAGAGACGTCGACTCTTCAGGGTGACAGATGGCCCGATAGACAAAGAACTTGGCCGACTGCTTTCTCTTCGTGTCGTTGCGTAACTCGATAAAAGGAGAGAGAGAGAATCAGCTCAAAGTCGATCGTCCTGACGTCGAACAGTATCCGAGGTACACCATCGTCAAAGGGACGATGGGGTTGAAAATCAAATAGTCCTGTCTCGATGGGAAACCTGGCCTGCCCAAGATTGATCTTTCTCTCCTTCCTTTTCTCTTCCATTTCGGACAAACAGTTCTTACCTTTCTTCGCGATCTGATACTCCCCCTCGGTGACGAAACCGCGTTCACGATCAGTGGAGGGTAGTTTCGCAGTGCTCCACGACGATTAGGCGATTAGAAGACCCCCTTTGACGAAACCTAGTTACGATTCTCGCTATTGGATATGGAATTAGCTGCAGGGATTGCGGATCTTCGACGATCAAATTGCAGTTTTTTAATGTATGCTTAGGTGATTTACTGTTTTTTTTGTTATAGCATTCTATTGCTTTTTATT